TTGTGTCAACTATATGAAGTTGCTTTGTTCCCATCTCATCAATCTTCTTTGTCAAAAGACTCATTTAACTCATCAAAGTAGCAATATTTTTAGCATTTATATTGTTTAGGTTGAGAGCTAGTGATGGGTGAATCTCGCATCATCCAACTTGAGTTCTAGGTCATCTTATCCAAAAGAAGTCGGGCTTCAGTGAACAATTTGCTCAAAAATGCACAACCAACCGAAGCATCAATATTAGCCTTCAAATTATCAACAAGCCCTATGTAAAAAAATTTCCCCAACATCTGATTAGGAATTTTGTGATGTGGATACCTTGCCAACATTCCCATAAATCTTTCTCATGTTTCCTGAAGGGACCCATTACCTTTTGCTTGAATCATAGAATCTCAACAATATGCATTGAGATCTTATTTGGTGGGAGAATATTGCCCAGAAGCTGCTTGACTAGTTCGTCCCAGGTAGTGATGGAATTGATTGGTAGTGATTTATGCTAGGTTTGTGCTTCCCTGGTTACTGAGAATGAAAAAAAAGTAGCATGATTACTTTTGGTGTTATATTTTACTACCATTTAGTAAAATAGATTGACAGAAAATTTCTCAGATTCTGTTGTAGGTTTTAATATTTTTTCCCGAGAACAATCCCTTATTTTGCAGCAGATTCTTCATAATGTTCATTATCTAAAAACACTATGTTTGTATTTGCGGGCTTGCAATTGTTGTTGCTAGGTTGACAGGTGTGGGAGGATTCTAGTCATAGAAGGCGATATCCGGTACAATAGGAGCGACAACTATATTAGCAATTTATAGGTTGTTCCTATTTCTCCCGATATTACCAATGTTATGCCATTTCGATCTCACTTTCTAGTTCTTATTGTAGCTACCAGTGGTTGCTTATTCTTTTTATTTACAGGGTTTAGTGCCTCAAATACACTCTCTAGTTACGGAAAAGCTTTGAAGAGTTCGCCAGGTTTTGAGAAGTGTCTAAGCATACACATGTAACACACAAGATTCAAAGAACAATCTAAGTGTAGTTGAAAAAGAAAAGAGTAAAAATGACTCAGTTATAGATAAACACAATCAACCATCCAAATATTGGTACCATTAAAATTCAAGATGAGAAGTTTAGCTACTCATAATAATGCGTAAAAGCACAATACTAGAATTCATTGAAAAATGGAAGGAAGAAGAAACTCATCATCGAATCCTGTTAGCCTTTGCTCCTTGTGTGGTTCTTGCCTCCCCAGTATTGTGTAATACTTCAATAGACATTTTAAAATGTATATATATATATATATATATATATGATCTAGAGTTTTTATAGGTGGTCTCAGCCAATCCCAAATCGGACAGGAAGAAATGGGATGCTCATCCAAAAGGCTCGCGACAAGAGCACTAAGAAATGTGCACCTTTAGTATTTATTTAGCACCCCTCGCGATCCCTCTTGCCCTAGCCTACCTTCAATGTCTATACTGGCTGATGAAATCCAGGGACGCCAAGTGTACTTGCGACGTGAACAAGGCAAATGTCATCTTGCCTTCAACTACATTATATTTTCAACCTAAACTTGCACCAAATCGCTCATTCGTTCCACTTTCATCACACTCACTTCTAACATAATTAAATGTCACGGCCCAAAACCATCATCGCTGTGATGGCGCCTAACTTACTTGATAGGCCAGACAATCATAAAACATTTGAGGAAAATAATAACATATATAGAATAAATGAGTCTAAAAGTTGAATAAACATAGGTAAATACCAATAAATACAAAAATTCCCCAGAAACTAGTGACAATGAGTCATGAGCTCTAATGTATGAATACAAGTCCACTAATACAGTATATTTTCTATAACACTAACTATAGTGAAAGATAAAAAGAGACATTAGGGACTGCGACCAGGAAGCAGCTCTACCTCGAGTCCCAACAGCAACAACAATAATTCTCGATACTCAATTGGGTCCCGCACCTGGATCTACATAATTAAATATAGAGTGTAGTATGAGTACAACCGACCCTATGTGCTCAAGAAGTATCATGACTAACATCGGTGATGTCGTGGCGAGAGTGGTCAATTATACTTACTATCAAACTTGTGCAGTTCATGAATATATATGTACACAACAATAGTACCGGAATCAAGGCAAAAGGTACAGGTAAGGCCAATGGTGCACATAGAGACGATATGCACAAGCATCGTAATCAAGCTAACAGTTCAATACATAAAGAAGATATACACGAATAAACAAATCGAGTTACACATATTTGACATATAGAGAAGATATGTACCATGAGTCATTTCACCAATTAAATCACCATATAGAGAAAATATCCATATAATGCATGTATACATTCTGAGGCTAGCATATAGAGAACATACGCAGTAAAAAGCATATATAGATCCAAGGAGCTTGCGTATAGAGAAGAAATAGAAAGTCCAAATATTGATCACTTTCCATAATCCATATGTACATCATCAGGGAAAACCATGAGAGGACGAACCTAGGGGGACGGATCCTTAATCACACACTGCACAAACAACATACATGCCATAATCATAACAACCGCACGGATAGCTCACGTGCTATAAATCCAATCTATCGTATAGAAGGCACATGCAAGACCACATGTACACGAACAACGGTTATCAAAGCATACACTCATATACTGAAGAAAAAAGCATGCTAAGGTGTATACATGTGCGAAGTGCACAACTTCAACTTAGATTAGGCGGGTACGCCAAATAATAACGAGTATCATGCTCAAACAGGAAATCATACATGGCACCCAGTCTGCACAAAGAATCATAGGAAGTTCACATAGTCATACAAACAATCAAAACATGAATCATAGGAAGCACACAGTTTGAACAAAGAATAATTGAAGCCTAAAGTCTAATCCAATCGAAATTATATATGGCACCCGCATATACGCTCATCACCTCGTATGTATGTCACTTTTCATACATTCCAATTAGCCAAATAACGTCACATCCTAAGGGTTATTCTCTCACAATAAGATTAGGTAAGATATTTACCTCAAACGTGCAAAATCAATTCTTCAATAATACTTTGCCTTGCAAATCGGCCTCATAGCGGCTCGAATATAGTCAAATACAACTCAATAACATCAAACAAATCCATATGAATCAATTTCAAACAATAAAGCTTCGATCTTTAATTAAATCCCCAAAAATTATCCCTGGCCCACATGGTCAAAATCGGAGTCAAGGGGTAGATACGGACTATCTATAACGCCACGAGCGCAAATATGTGTTTGGTTTTCAAATCCATGTCCAAATCACAGCTCAAAACATCAATTTTTACTTTCCTAAGTTGTAGGAAAATCTCCCAAATTTACCTCAAAATTTCTTATTTTAGGTGTTAATAATCCATGTACATTCCTGAAGTAATAACATAAATGGGTAGAAACCACTTACCTAAAAGTCTTGTACGAAACTCCCCTTGCATAATCTCCCCTCTCCATTTCTAGGGTTGAAAATATGAAAGAATGGACTAAGATCCCAAAATACAATACTTAAGTATTATGCCCAGGTAAAGCCTTCGCGAAAGCGCCCCATGCCTCGCGTTGGCTAAGCACAAAATCTGCTTATGTCAAAAGAACACTCCGCGAATGCGACATCATCCCCCGCGAACGTGAAGCTTTTTGCCCATCCTCTTTCGCAAACACGGCAGTATGCAATTCGAACGCGAAGACTCACCTGTCCAGCCACTCCGTAAATGCTACCAGCCTTATGCGAAGGCTTCCTCCAGTTCCAAGCTGCTTCTTTGTGAATGCGGGACCCCTTCCTCAAAGGCAAAGAGAAAATGCCCCCATCTCAAAAGTACACTCCATGATCACAAGACCACCTCCGCGATCATGATGAAGAACCTGACACCAGCAAATATCTACAACACTAAAAATGCTTCGGATGGTCCGAAACTCAGCCAAGCCACCCCGGTCCTTGCGCTATCATATTAACAATCCATAAACATTACCCTGATATATCCAAAGCTTAAAAAAAGTTACAATAACATCACATCTACGAATGAAAGATCAAATCACAAGTTGAACCTCTTTTAAGTTCAAGAACTTCTGTGCCTCTAACCAAGCATCTGATTCAGGTCTAAACAATCTGGATCGCTACCAAACATCGCACAAAAGTTCCATACAACAACACAAACCTATTATCAAGTTCCGGAACAAAAATCAGAATACAATATAATTAAAGTTAATTGCAAGGCCTCGTTAAAAAAATTTTAATGATTGAAGATTTTAAAGTGCGCTAACGGTAATTGGGAATAACATGTTCGAGCATTAAACGAGACCCATAGGATAGAACCATATTACTTTGAAATGAAAAATATATGTTTAAGGTGCGTTGAAACATACTAAGGAGTTTTGTGAATGGCAAGAATTCGTGTGGAACAAGTTAGAAATATTAAGTGGAAAGGATGTCTCAATTCGCACAAGATAATAATTCAACCGCATGCTGCTACCAAACTATAACGACTTAGGAGGTTATGTACCTACAAAATTAAATCCCTTTGAGTCTAGTTTATAACTCTTCAAACCATTCGTCATTTGGACACTCCTACAAAAAGTTATGTTCAAATTCCCAAAGGTTGGAAAAATGTGACCGTGCTATAACCCTCGCGAAGCCAGGTCTGTAGCGCGCTAGACCGTTCTATAACTCTCGTGAAGCCAGGTCTGTAGCACGCTAGACCATGCTATATCCCTCGCGAATCTTGGTCTGTAGCTCGCTATAGACCGTTCCTAGCCCGGTCTGTAGCCCGGTCCAGATTTGTTAGGGTCCATTTTTCTAATTTCATAACCCAACCCTAGTTCCTATAAAATGATCTTAAGGTCATTTTGGAGGGATAATCTGATGCTTTTAGACAGGGGAAAGTCCCCTAGAGTGAGAGGAGGAATTCATAAGCCCTTGTTCATTAAATCTTGCTCAAGCCTTGAAATCCAAAAAATAATCCCTCAAGTTCTTCATCTAAGAAGCGAAAATGGAGAAGACTTTCATCATGATCAAGCCTGATGGTGTCCAACGTGGCCTGGTTGGTGAGATAATTGGAAGATTTGAGAAGAAAGGATTCTCTTTGAAAGGCTTGAAGCTCATCACCGTGGATCGTGCCTTTGTTGAAAAGCATTACTCAGACTTGTATGCTAAGCCTTTCTTTAATGTGCTTGTTGATTATATTATCTCTGGCCCCGTTGTTGCAATGGTCTGGGAAGGTAGGGGTGTAGTTATCACTGGTAGGAAGATCATTGGAGCAACAAACCCATTGGAGTCTTCTCCCGGTACCATCCGTGGTGATTATGCTATTGATATTGGCAGTAACGCTATTCATGGAAGTGATGCAGTTGAGAGTGCAAGGAAGGAAATTCCTCTTTAGTTCCCCGAAGGAGTTGCAGAGTGGCAGAGCAGCCTTCACTCTTGGATCTATGAGTAGAAAAGTTTTATGACTTTATAACTCTATTAATTGGCATGCCTGTTTTTAGTTGTCACTTATGAATTTTCGATGTCATTTGAGTCTAGAAGTTTGGTGTTTGAGGTTTAAAAAAAATTAGGTAAGGTTCCATACCCTAGTTTTTAATTTCGAATATGGGTAGAAGATGGTTGATTAAGAGTATCATTCTTGGGTTTAAGAGTATTATTTATACATGCATGTACCAATAAGGTTTGTGGGAAGATTTTTGAGCTCAAATGGGTAAAGATTGGGTTGTGAAGTGAAGGAAATCTTATGGAAGAACCTTATAACCAATTTGCACACATAGTGTTTGATAAAATGCTCAAATGAGCTAAAACCATGAATATTTTCTTAATTATGGTTCAATTTTGTTATGTCTCAAACTAGATTGGGATTTCTAGGATTTTCGAAACGTCGTAGTAATTTAAGGAAAGCTCAAAGCGAGGTATACTGGCTAAAATTTCTCTCTTGGAATTAAATTCCATGATGTTCCCGTAAGTTCCAAGTATGGTTGTCTCAAGTTCCTTATTCTATGTTCCGAGTTGTTCCCAATAAATTCGATTGTCCCGAATAAGAAAAGTGATGAGAATTATGTAATCAAAACTTGTCTCAAATGTTCCTATCACATTATGTTACCCTTTGGGAATATGTTCAAGAATGATATGTGAATTAAAATGCTATGTCTTTGAGACGTGTTCCAAATGAAGGTTATGATTCCAAATTGTGTGACAAAATCTCAATATTCCTAAGACTCTTAATTGCTCATATGTGTACCTAAAATATTAATTTGAAAATGTCTTATTGTTGATAATCTATAAAGATGGTTGGAAGTGAAATAAATGAATTGGGGATATAGAGTGTGGCCAACGTGCCAAGAATTTAAATTATGATTGTGGCTACTAGTGCAAATGATTTGCAAGGATGCGATAAAAAATATGAAATGAGCCTCGACTCAATTGTTTAAAAACGATTTCGAAAATAGAGTTGCCTAAAAGCTTTTGAACTCAATTTATGCCCATAAGTGGCTGCTTTAACAAATGCTTTGCTTAATAAATATATCCAGTGTGATTCGAGTTCTTACATACTCATATGTTGAAGTTGTACATTGTCATTTCTGGGGAAGAGTATTGCAAGAATAAATGGCGTATTGATTGTTTTTTATTTTGATGTGTGTTTCTATTGCTGGTTGGTATGCCCCATTCTATGGGAAGAATCTATTTGTGTTTAAAGTTCCTATTACAAATGGATTTGAAGTATATAATTTCTGAAATATTCTATATGTTGGTATTTGATGGTGATCTTTGAAATTGAAAGAGGTGAAAGTGTGGAATATCAAATATGTCCATCGTGCCAGAAATAAAAAAAATCTTGTGAATGGCCAAATGAGCCAAGAAAATATTGTCGTTGTGAATGACTGGAAATACTAATGAAAATTTATACAATGTCAAAGATGTTGAGGTGAGTACAATTGTATTTATGTTACCTCTGTGTGCAAATCAAATCAAAAATATTTTTGGGAGCATCATTAGCAATACCGAGGAAGGGTGGGTCATAAGACCCATACCTAAAACTACACGTGCCGGTGTAGGGGTGGATTGTGATTATTCCCCTTATTTGGGATAAAATTGAAATATTTATGAAATTGTGATTTTATTCCCCTTAATTAGGATGAAACTGGTAATAATTGTTGATTGGAAAAGTCAACCCACACGGCATATGTGGAAAGAAGGCCTAGCTGATCGGGTGGAGATCGGATACCATGTTGCACACATGGTGGTACTACTCTTGGTAATAACTTTCTTTCGCATCACCTGTCAAATCACATTGTTTATGGGGAGATGGCCTAGCCGTTCGGACGTGATCGGACTTCGTGCTAACAAAGAGGTGGTATATCGGTGCTAATGATCTCCCAACCAAAATTGTATATGAAGTTCGTATTTTGAAAAATTATTATGTTTTAACTGGACATTTAGATATTGTTGATTATGACTTGTTGTTTCTATGTGTTGCCTTTTCTTGTATAGGCGTTCTATTTTGAAAGAGAAATTTTAGCTATGCATACTAGTGTTATTCGATAGTACTAACGTCCCTTTTGTCGGGGGCACTGCATCTTTAATGGATGCAGGTGATTCTAAAGCAGGCGGCATTGATCAGTGATAGCAGTACATTCTTTTCAACTGATTTGGTGAGCCCCACTTCATTTCGGGGTCATATATCTTTTGTTTCTCATGTACTTGTTTTTGAGGTATAGCCCGGACCTTGTTGCCGGCATTCACATATTACTCTTCTATTGTACTTAGAGGCTCCATAGACAGGTTGTGGGTTGTGGTTGATGTTGAGAATTGAATTAGAAATGTTGGTATTTGGAAATCATGTTTTTCATTAATTCTATAAACTCGTAATATTTTGGAAATTATGAATGAAGCTGCTAATGGGAATGAAAAGGAAGTTTTTAATAAAATATTTTCAGTGTTAGATTAATGGAGTATCTCCTCTTTATTCATGGATGAGTTTGGGTAGATGAAAATCTAACAAGCTTGCTCGGCCGGGTTCTCTCGGTTAAGCGTCGGTCGCGCTCCCCGAGTTTGGGGCGTGACAAACTTGGTATCAGAGCCTAAGGTTTTAAAGTGTCCTAGAATGTCTCAGAGCCATGTCTAGTAGAGTCCTTCTTATCGGTGTGTTGTCGACCACATCTATAATGAGGAGGCTACATAGACATTTAGGAATTTCATACTTCTTTGATACGCCAGATCGTGCGATAGAGCTCAAGATAGGAAGCTAAATTCCTCGTCATGTCTCATTTTCCATATGAGTAACCCACAAGTTTGAGGCATCGAGGAGGAAATGAAAGAACCAGTTTCTAGGGGAAATGTCCCTATTCCTATTAATGTCACCACGCCACTAGATCATATGGTGAGATAACCTAAGAAACGAAAGAGGGTTATTTGTACCAATAAGCTGGAATGTTTGATATGAAATAATAGCCACTCGAGTTTATGTTGGATGATTCTTGAAATATGTTATGGTTGTGGATATAGGGGGCACAAGAAGAACAAATGCCCTAGGTTGGATACACCCATCCCAATCTACCCAATGTGCGGGAATAAACATTTGGCGTCATGTTGTGAGTATGCTCAGAAGCGTGTTAGGGGTGGTAGATTTGGGAAATTCCAAAGGTCCATACAATGAGCTATTGTAGAGATTGTTACTCCTGCCATGAAGGCTGGGAGGAAGACTAAGGGGAATGCTTATGATGTATGCAAAAAGGGTAAATATCAGATAAGTGGGGCGAGTCAATTTAGTGTACCCCATCCTCGTTGTGTGAAGTGTATGAGACGTCATCCGGGGGTGTGTCACTATGGTACTAATGTATGTTTTGGATGTGGAATAGAGGGGCATCAATTAAGGTACTGCCCTGTCAATCTAAAGTCATCAAGTAAGTCACTCCTTAGTACATCATTATGAACACCGCATTATTTTCCTTGTTGTATATGTACATCCATATTGAGGAGGCCTACATAAATATGGTCTTAACCAAAATGTTGAATCACAAAATATTGCATGTACTTACTTTCTGGATGAGACGCATTATTCATGAAGCCACTCTTTCACAAATTCTCTTATTTACAACCTCCTGTGGAATTACGCTCTATAATTATGTCCTTCAAATTGAGTTATAACTCTAGGATTAATACTTCCCACTTGCTTCCCTAAATTCTCAACAAGGGACTATACCTGATGAATTTCTTATAGAATGTTTTGATTCAAATGGATAACATCGGCTCACTTGTGCTTATGCATGGACAGTCATAAAGTTTACTTATGTGGTATCAAATCCAATGTAAAGCAGCCTAGTGTTGAGATCCTTCTTGAGCCAATCTTTTTCTCTCTGGTGTATGTGGCTCCTATGGTTTGAACAATCACTTTGTTCCTTTGTGTATATTATCATGAATCCTTTTCACCGTCTAGTAACATAAGAGCATATCTCAGCACCTATCATATGTGTAGCTGTCAATTGAAAGGGGTAACTTGTCCGCATAAAAGTTTCTGGGAAATTTGAGATTTTCACAAATTCGTCGTATATCTAGTCCTCTCATATAGGATCAACTATTGGCAAAGGTTAAGTTGTGAGAATGATAATAATCTCACAAGTGTTCGACTTCTTTTTCATCCTCATGGGCTTGTTGCATAGATCCCTTGTGCTAGAACCTGTTAAGAGAATAATGCAATTTCATGTATTTTAAAACCCATATCACATTCAGGGTACCAGAATATTCTCATTTCGAGTTAAATTGATTTTTCCTACATTATCAATGCCTACAAGGCAACTCTATGCTTCATTTGTTGAATCGATGATTTTGTCATAATGATTAATCGTGGAAGCACTATTAGTGGCCACCCTTATGTCTCTTAGAATATAACCTCTTAAAATACCCTTTTCGGCATGTTAATGGATTTTGAATAATTCCAGCCCAATCTCAGACCTCGTTGTTCCTATTTATAGTAAGCTATGGGGGTTGAAGGTTCAAACATGTCAAAGAAGCATCATCATCCAGTGATCAAATATAATGGATAGGAAGTTTTATGGTCATATTCAAGCTAAGCACATCTTAGAGTAAGTGCTGGAGGTCGCCATAGGTTTAGTTTGGGTGTTCGGCGTAGGGGTTTAGAGTTGAAGAAAGTGAACAGGTTATTCTCAAGATTTTCACTATGAATATGTTGGGTGAATTGTTAAGGAAGGTAAAGTATGTGTAGTCACATTAGGCTTTATGAAATCTTGAAGGAAATAGGCCAAGCTATGAGTATGATATTTCCCCTATTATTGTCCACCGTGTACACGGTGTATCATATGTCTATGTCTATTAAAGTAGTTGTAAATCCTTTGTCTATCATTCCGGTGAAAGCTAGTGAAGGTGAAGTTAAAGGATAATTGGATTGTGAGGGGTATCTATTTTCCATCCTTGTTAGATAAGTCCGAGAGTTGA